AGTCCAAAAACATATTGAGGTTAATTGGCGATTCTAAATTTTCCGTAGAGGTGAATGTGAGTGTGCTTGTTTGTCTCTAAGTGTAGCCCTGCGGTAGACTGGTGACCAGTCCAGAGTGTCCCCTGCATTCATCCTAAGTCAGCTGGGATAGGCTCGAGCCCCCTGCTACCCTAGTGAGGATTAAGTGATGTATAGATAATGGATGGATGAATGAATGGATGGATGGGAGTAGGCTGTCACTGAGTGGAGCTGGAGGTGGAGGACATGACAGAATGACAGCTTCTGCAGCAGAAAAGGAGAGGGATGGATGGATGCTGGCAATGTTTTTGAGGTGGAGGAAGCCTGTTTTAATGATGTGTTAAAAATGTTGGTTGAGGAAGGGTTTGGTCAAAGATGACGCCTAGATTTCTAATTGAGGGGAAGTGAGTACAGTGGAGCTGTCGATGGCGAGGGAGAAGTTGTGGGTGATTTGAGGAGGGATTTTGGAACGATTACAATGATTGCTGACTGAAAAAACACAACCATAAAGACACTTTTTGGAAAAAAATTCGGAAAAATTGGAATAATTTTGAGAATCTGTGTTTTATTTTTCAGTGGAACTTTTTTCAGAAATATTTTTTTTCTCAGCGCCAATGAAAATTTTTTGATTACAAACATTTATATTCAAATGTTTTCCTTTACAATGCCAAATTTTATTTTAAAAGACAAACTCTGTTTTGGCCCCATACCACTGTTAGTAATACCAAAGCAGCAAGAGAGGATAACTCTGCTGCTCAAAGAAATGCACTGTTTCCTCCTGTTTGTGACCTGTTTTTTTTTTTAAAGGTTTATGTCATCATCAGCAGCTAGTGGGCTTAGGGAGGAGTCCCACAGGCTATGTTGGGATACAGGGAAGTTTTAAGAGACAGACTAATTTATTGTTGGTTGTGATTTGTTTACAATTATAACTATAAATTGTTCTCTTAAATGCTCAAACAGTTTTGCCATAGTGTTTGTTCAAAGTTGTGCTTTGGCTTGTTTTTGTTCTTAGAAATAAATAATCAATAAATATTTTGTTTGTTTTCAACATACACTTCCTAAGACTTTGAAACAAATAGCTGAGACTGTTTTAAATGACTATGTCACTTTTCTGCATGATGCCACTGGTAATGTCAATAAAATGTTTCTCTGTAGGCTGAGCTTTTACTGAATGAAGACAAAACCAAGTTAATGCCGCAATTTAATGCCAAAAAGTAACACTTAGAGAGTGCTGATATTGTGACAACTCAGGAAGAGAAAATAGCAAGTCTGAGAATACCATCCCAACTGTGAAGTATGCAGGTGACGGTATCATGGTACAGAGATGTTTTGCTGCAAGAGAGACTGGTGCAATTCACAAAATAGATGGCATCATGAGGAAAGAACATTTTGTGGAAATATTGGAACCACATCCCAAGACATCAGTCGTGGTTCTTCCACCCTGGGGGCGCACTCTGAAGGGGTGGAAGTGGCCACTGGTCATTGTGTCCTCTTCTGCGCATGCGGGACACTTATGGGTTGTATGAAGTTCACACAGGAGGTCACATACAAGTTGCATTTAATTGGAAATGTGAACGAACTCGCAAAAAAATCAGATTTCACAAAAATACCCGATTGAGCATTAAGTCCTGCAGTCTGAATGTAGCCTTAGTTACAAAGTGGCTTGAGGACAATGAAGTCAGTGTTTTGGAGTGGCCATCACAAAGCCCTGATCTCAATCCCGAAGAAAATTTGTGGGCAGAGCTGAAAAGGTGTGTGTGAGCAAGACGGCCAACAAACCGGAATCAGTTACACCAGTTCTACCAGGAGGAATGGGCCAAAATTCTATCAAACTATTGTGAGAAGTTTGTGGAAGGAAACACAAAACGTTTGACCCAAGTCATACAGTTTAAAGGCAATGCTATTATTATATAATTTAAAGAAATGTATGTAAACTTCTGACTTTGAAGACAGTAATAAAAAATATACAGTGTATATAAACTTCTGGTTTCAACTGTACATGAAAGTTGTCCTGATTCCACCTTGTCGTAAACACATCACCAAGTATCACAAAAGTTAAACCCCCATTATGCTCCCTGCTTGCTAACACAAAAGTGTCTGAGTGACCAGCTTCCTGGACGGCAACAGTGAGAGCTGCGACTCCTTGTGGCTTTGGAAAATAACTAATGAGTATTTAATTTAAATTTATTTTATTTTAGTTTGTTAGACTTTAAAATGTAATTCTAAATTTGAAGATTATGGTAATTTTGTAACATTATAATAAAAAGTGTAATTTTTTGTCGCTCAAAATATGCGTCGATGTGCAACACCTACTGGCACACACAGTGTTGCCAACTTGGTGACTTTCTTGCTAAATCTGGCAACTTTCCAAATCCTCTTGGTGACCTTTTTTTGTCAAAGGCAACTAGCGACAAATCTAGCAACTCTTTCTGGTGTTATTGGAGACTTTGCTGGTGTTTTAGAGACTCAAACATATATTGTTTTGCAGTTACTGTCCTCAGCGAGCAGTGGTGCTGCTGTAAGCGCCTTCCTACCCCAAAGCACTCACAGGTGGTCAGGAGTCTGGTCAGCAGTCCCAGCTGCAGTCAGCAGGACAACCAGACGTCATTTTTACTTTGCTGCAGGTGGATAATTTAAGAGTACTTTAGAGTAATTTTCAGCTAAATTTTTTTCGCCGTGTTTTTGTTGCATGCAGAAACAGAATTTTGTTTTCTCTGTAGCAGCTCATTGATTTCATAAATGCAACACACTGTAGTTTTTTTTATATATATATATATACATAGCATCAAGGTAAAAAAAAAAAAAAAAAACGGGATATGCAGTGTTATCTTCATTTTAGATGTCAAAAGGGTTTTGTTGCTCCCAGTGTTTTCATTGGGTCCAAATGGCTCTTTGAGTGTTTAAGGTTGCTGACCCCTGGGCTATCCAAAGTTGTAAGTGTATTACTGAAAGTGTATTTTTATTCCAACTACAAATGTGGAAGGATGGAAGGAAGAGAAAAAGAGAACACAAACTGCTAAAGGAAAGGATGCAGAGAGGCTGGAAAGAAGGATAAATGACTTAATGGAGATCAGCGAGAGGATGATATGTCACAACCGGCCATCGTATGCTTACTTAAGACTCAGTAACACACATAGACACGCACGAACACACACTGGCAGCAGTGGTGTTTGCCTCACTTGTACTGTTAGTCATCTTTCTCTCTCTGTCATAAATCCCGTCTTGCTTCGCGATGTGTTCAGCAACATGTGTGAGCGTGTCTGTGTGTGCGTGTGTGCATGACTTTGTCCTTTATTACCACGCCTAACCAGCGTCGTGTTTGCATTAGCAGTTATGGATGCACCCACATGAGCATGCATCGATGCTATGGCATGTGGTGTGTGTCTGACTGCCACCATGCAGCAGCTCTCTCCTACTGTATTTTGTGCGCGCAACCACGGTGCATCTCTTAACACACATACACATAGGGCTGGCATTCCTTCTCTTCTCT